CCCCAAAACCCCAAAACCCCAAAACCCCAAAACCCCTTATGAAGTTATAAATTAAAAATAGAATCACTTTAATTGTTTTCAATAAATTCAATCGTTATAAAATAATTATGTGTGCTGAGTTGTGTATCATATTTCAATAGCAATACTATCATTAAATCAGAGATGTTCATATAACCTTCTCATACCTCTCTGTGACATCGAAAGTTTTTTCATCTTGATCATAATCTCTCATTTATCTAATCTTTTATCTTCTAGCTTGATGCTTTTCCTCCATTTATGAAATAAAGATTTGGTTCTTGGCCCTTCTTATAGTTATAAATAACCCTCCAAGGAAAGCCAAAATCAAAATAGATATGAAAATATTCACATAGAGACTGTTTGGCATCTTGATGTCCTGAGGTTTCTTCTTAGAAAGAGGTTTGTTTTAAGCTAAATTAAGACCATACATGCAGCCACAGCCCAGGACACAGTTTCTTCTAGCACTTTGGAATACAAGACTAAAGCATTCATTCGCACAATCTGGATCGCATTTTTATTATTGCAGAGAAATATTTTCCTCTGTTCTAAAAAGATTCAAATGAACTTTACAAGCCTTTTACATGCAAATCTCCTTGGCTCTGTATATAATTTCTTAAGAAGATAAACATTAATAAGCACAGTCAAAATCAACATCTTGTGTTATTGAGTAGTAATCTGATGCTTACTCCAATAGTAGTTTGCTATTTCTAGAATTTATCAGGTAATCATCAAAAGGAACTACGTCTATTTGAAGATCAGAGAGACTCATTGCAGTAATATTAGAATTCTAGCATTAACACTTTTGAAGAACACAATCATTCATTATAACTGAAATAGGCAAATCCTCTGATTTGAAGCAAGATTCCATACATTCTGCGCTACAAATAGTGTTTTCAGAATACTATCCAGCAGCTTTAGCGAACCATTCATATTCATTAGTATTGTTGAACTCTTCGATAGCCTTATCTCTAAGCTGTTCTACTTTTAATGAGAATATTTCATCTCTTCTGCTCATTTCTTTATCTAAAAGTTAATCTATTTTCGCCTCATCATAATTCTCTGACCCAATTAATGATAATGCTTTTGATGGCCTATATTTCAATTGAGCATATGAACCAACATAAGTCTCAATGATTTTTAGCCCAGGACTTTCATTATGTTCTAGATGTAGACTTAATAAACTTTCTTAATTCACTCCTTTGTTGAATTACATCAAATCAAGCATTGTAAGATTAGCAGCATCTTCAAACATCTCAATGCACTCCTATACTTTTTCCTCAGAATTTGAATTGTATAGACATTCAAGGAAGTTTTGAAGCTTCTCAACAACTTTTTCATTGATATCTTTAGTATATAAAGATTGGATGCATCTGCCTTAATACATACTAATATACAGACTATGCTGAATATTGCACTGCTACATTTCATTTAGGGTTCTTGCTTTATTATAGCAATTCAAAAGGCTATCAAAGTCTCCAACTTATTATTAGAATTCTGAGAATGATTAAAGAGAATTAATAGCTTATGAGGAATCATAGTTTTGGTAGTATTGATTTAGCATTTATACGCATTCTGCTTCCTCTAAATAGTTATTTACTTTTCTATAGCATTTATCAATAGCATTTAAATCCTTAATTTATAGCTCATAACTGATTGCTGCATTGTCTTCAACTTCAGATAGCAGTGATAATTTTGACTTAATTTGGTATAGTACATAATCAGATGTGTCACGGCCATAATCAAGCTAATCACTAAGTAAGGAATATTAGCTTAATACTATACAGTCTTTAGGATTCAAACTTTATGATGCCTAATTGAAAACGGATTTGCTAAAATTACCTAGGCATTTGGGGACACAATTCAAATCATTTGATTTGCAATGTTTTTTACAATGCTTGTATTGGTCCCAATCGGTACTATCTGCTAGATATAAGGGGTCAAATGTAGCTCTTGAATATTTTTCTAGGGCAAACAAATTAACTAGAGTAGAAACTTCCATTTTTCTTATTAATTTTTACTGATCAGATTCGTAGCCAGTAAAATCTTCAAATATATTCTCAGAGCTGAAGAGAAAATCTTCAATCTTTGGATCATACATTGTGTCTTTATTAAACAAGCTCTAATAAATAGGATTCATTTAAATTTCTCTGGACTTCAGATCAGCGCATCTTTAATAACATCCACTCAATTAGACATCACAATTCGTTATACATATCTCATATCCAAGATAGACATCGTTAGCTACCAAATTTAGCAGTCTTTCATTAGTTTCAAATTGATATTTCTTCTCCTCTTCTTAGTAGTGAGTAATCGAGAAATCCAACTGATGATAAGCTTAATTATGATCTGGTTTTGAGAAAAAAGAAATTGACTAGGTATCATCTTCAACTCTATTTTACTAATCTTATTCTTGCCTTAGAACTTAAGATTGATATTGTTATGTCAACTATTATTTTCGCTCGAAAAAATAGTTGCAGTTATTCTAGCATCTTTCATTTCCACGTTAATCCTCACAAGAGTACAAACATTGTTTGTGCTCTTAGTTTAATAAACCTTGAATTCTTCCTAATTCTAATAGCTTTTATTCTCCCGATAACTATTTTTCTTTAGTCTAAAATAAAGCTGCTATACCCTGAGCATAACAGTTATCAATACAATATAACTAGCTCATAGTGTCTAATCCATCGCATGAACTCATACAATCTAGGTATTATTAAGATTAGATTTTCAATATAGCAACAGGTAAGATCAGAGCAAGTGATTTTATAGTACTTTTCCTAAAAACGTTTACAGTCATTTTTAATTATACAATAACTAACAAATTATAATTGATATATTCCTCACCTAATGTATTAATTTAAGTAAAGAATACTGCAAATAGAATTAAACAAATATTGCTATTATTGCATAAATTTAAGTTGAGGGGTTTTGGGGTTTTGGGGTCTTGGGG